GCCCTCTGGTTCCTGCGTGTTCTGCATTTAGACAGTTATCTTGGAAACTGGTCAGTGCAGAAATTAATTTTACTTGCCATAAACAAACCGAAGAACTGTGTGTAGGTAGGACATTGAACAGAGTATTCAAGCTGTCCTACCAGCAAGGCATGCTTTTCCTAATGCAGTCACTCCCTTTGAGTTTCGCAGGCCCTCCACCATTGGTGTGAGTACTGCTCAGCTGGCCAGTGTTTCTAAAATAGCATGTCAAATAATAAATGAAACCCCTTAGGAGGAGGGGAAGAGGACCACTTAGTTCCAGTTTTCTCAAATAACACCCAAGGTCTTCCCGTTTATTCTGGCAATGCACAGGAGACTGCGAGAACAACAGTAACTTTCAGTCGCTGTTGCATGATTCTTGATGGATCAAAATTGTTCAACAACTTGCTGGATCCTTTTGCACCTAGTGCCATGTTCATTATCTCTGTCTGCTTTGCTTCTTTCCATGCCGTCTTTGTGTTTTAACAGCTTGCCAGGGGGCCTTTTGAGCTTCATCCTGCTCCCCAGCCCAGGCAGGCATGAGATTTTGAAGTATTTCATTTCTAACATCATAGACCTACGTCATTCTGCAATGGTGTCTGTCCTTTGACTGGGTTACTAGGGCAGTTATGCTTACATATAACAGGGAAGCACAGACAGTAGCATCATGTAGCATATAAATAATAATGAGGTACCTTCCATGGCAGTCATCTATCCATTAAGAAAGGAATTTCTTGTGTGTGGAGCCTCTGGAGTGGTCTTGTCCTATAAATGCTCCCTTTCCAGTGAGTAACGAAACTTGCAGAGCTGTCGGATTCTCCCAAGCTGCTTGGAGGAAGCCTGTTCCCATAATGGATGAAACGAGAAAGAGGAATCCTGTTGGCTGCTCTGGTATTTCCCCTTTCTCATTAGCATTGACCACAGATTAAAATGCAAGACTTGTGCAGTGATGTTTCCTGCTGTCTTTCCTGTTTTATCCAGTGTTTGGGTGCTGTTTCAGAAACCTTACTTCAGGATGGTTATTCAGGTGCATAGTATGATGCACCTATTTAAAAGCATGGGTCCTATTACATGATGTCATAGGAAATAGACTGCCTCTATGAAAAATGCCTGGAGTAAAATAAGTTAGCACTCTTTCTTTCAGGTGAGAATCCAGAGAGAGTTGTGAGGGCAGGCACAAAAGTTAGTTTTGTTAACTGTTCCGAAACACCTGACAGCTCCTATTCTGTTCCAACAGATTCTGCCCTTTCTATAAAACAGTGGGAATGCTTTCCAATATGATTGCGTTTTACGACATGGCACGCCGTGCTGTAGAAACCACAGCCCAGAGTGACAATAAGATCACGTGGTCCATCATTCGAGAGAACATGAGTGAAATCCTCTACAGGCTCACGTCCATGAAATTCAAGGTACGCTTGTCAGGAGAGGCAGCCAGTGTCTGCTGCCTGCCAGCAGCTTGGTTGTACTAGAAAAAGGAGCTGTGTTGCACTGCTTTTTGGGAGCTTTCAGTGCCTCTAAAAAGGCTGTTCCTCAAAGGTGGTCATCAATCTCCTTAGGTAAGTCTGTGAACAGAGACTTTTAGCAATAATATGAATACATTTAAGAACTAGTTTTAGTGAGCACAGGAATGGCTAGGACACTTCTGAGGGGTGCTCACTGAAATCGAATCATGTGATGTTGGCTGCAAAGCCATGGCAACCCCACCTTTAGTAGTCTCTTTTATGTTACATATATTCATGGTAATAGTCCAAGCTCCTTTCCTCTTTAAGTTTTGGACTTTCTGATGTGTCGCTTATAAAATTATAGTATGTTCTAAGGAGATTGTATTAGCAGGTAAGAACAACTTGAAGTTCAAAGCCAGGAATGTGCTAAAAAGTGACTTACAGAAATGTTAATATAGCAATCTTAAATAGAAGTTAAGGAAAGAAAGGATAGTTTCTTGCAGAAATATGTGATGTCCCCTGTGGTTGGCTTGGTACATAACGCAGGTTAACGAGGAAGAGAGGAAAGGAGAAGTAATTTCATTATGGGCTAAAGAGCAAATAGGCTGCTCAGAGCAGCTGTGCTGGGTAGCTTCAGCAGCCATCTTTGCAGAGTGCAGCTTTCCTGCTCCTGTTCTTAAAACTTATCCAGAGCATGCCAGCCCAGCAGTTACTGGTAGGACAGTAGCCTGTGATGCTGTCTGATGTTAAAGTAGCTAATGAATGTTCTCTGCAAAGTATGGGGCTTATTTTGTTGCAGTTGGGCCAATATTGCAAACCTTTCAAGTACAAGTACCATGAGATTAAAATTACTTTTTAAACTAACAAAGTTCTGGCATGCCAGCGTATCCCATTCCTGCAGTTTACTGGCTTGTTTCTGCTTGTTAAGCAGACCCCTGGTATATATTCTCGAAGCATCAAGAGCATGACAAGCTATACATACGCTTGGGCACATGAGCTTGTTTGAGAGCTGGCTATGTAGAGACAGGTGAAGTAAAATGCTTTTAACAAACCCTGGCCACCAGAAGACATCTGGTATAGAGCAGAGTAGTGGACAGCATGGCTGAAAACAGGATCCAGAGGATGAATAAGTGGTAAGTGGAGAAGCCCCCCTACTACAGTAATAATTATGAAAGGAAAGTTATCCTGGATAATAATCTGAAAGGCTTAAGTATTTAAATGACCTGCCTCCTGTAGTGTGTAGATTTTGGAGGAGCAGTGAGGAAGTAGTGTGATCCAAAAACCTAAGTCCTCTCTGTTTCCCAGTAGCTGTGAGGGGAATGGTGAAGACATTGATCAGCTTTCACAGCTTGACCACTATTGCTTCTTGCAGGGAAGGCGGAGATGGAGTTCCACCTGCTGTGCAGTGAGCAGGTGTAAATCCTGAGGTCAAGAAGTTACAGCACTAGCAAAGAAAGATTGTCTTAAGTAAAAGACTTTTCAAGATTGATCTGTTCATTTGCTATGTTGTCTTTCAGGATCCTGTCAAAGATGGCGAAGCAAAAATCAAGGCGGACTATGCTCAGCTGTTTGAGGACATGCAGAATGCATTTCGCAGTCTGGAAGACTAGACTCAGCCTCTGTGACCACTCGTTTGTCCTCTCAGTTCCTCATCTCAGCTCCTCAGCTTCCCTACCTTGCGAGAAGGATGCAACAGTACTTGAGTTGATAATAGTCCTATGTTTCCCTGTTCATACTCCTTGTGTCTTTACAAAACATTCCTCTTTAGTTTATGTTTGGCCTTGCTTCGTGTGTCTGAAATGGTGAGTGAAGTGTGAATGGGCCTGACTGAGTGAGGAAATGCTGTTGTATGCTTCTAGGGTGGGAAAAACGTCACCTCGCCCTCTCCCAGTTCTCTTGGTAACCAGGCTCTTACCCTGGAAAGTAACCAATTGAGTTGTACTGGCAGAGGTGGTGTAGACCTTAATGCACTCAGGTGGTACATTCTGAGCTGGCAGTGGTGTAAGGCATTTAGGTCTAGCACTTTGCTAAGTGACTATCATGACTTAAACTCCCTATTCTTAAACAGAATTGTTGACCATATTTTGATGATGTGTTGATACAAGTGAAACCAACATAAATTCTTCATTACGATGTCCCTTCCACAACCTTCAGCTGAGGTTGTTGGTATTGAAATGTGGCAGTTCTGGAGCATCAACAAGAAGGGACTCACTAGAAGATGAACATGTACAAGCAGCTAATATGCTTTTGTACACTGGAGAAATAGAATTTTATTTTCCTACTTAATAGTCAGATAGGACTGTTGGACTCTGCATCAGCTAAAATTAAAGCCATAGGTATTCAGCTTTCAGCAGAAAGATTTTTTTTTTTCCTTCTTTGCCTCCAATTCACCCCATAAAATTTCATAACACTCGGCTGCTTTAGTCTGTGAAGCTTGTTACTGCTGCTTTGTACTGCAGGACATAACAAGCTGTGATGACTCCACTTATGTGGACCAGGAAAATATGTCCTTCCTAAGTGGTGCTCTGTATGCCAATACACTTGCCTTCCAGTGCAATGGCCAGGTTGTTCTTAGAAAAAGGAAATTTGTGCTTAACCCTCCTCCTCTACCACACTCATTTAGCTTGTCTGGCTGCAGCACAAAACATCCTCAGTTCTCACGTAAAAGGAATGTATGATGCTAAACTTCTGGTGGAGGGGAGGAGGAGAAGACTGTACTTCTGTACAGAGTGTATTTACTCTTCCCTTGTTGATTTTGATGCAAGGGAAACATCTGCACTGTGCTCTGGAAGCACTGTCTATAAGGCATCAGAAACTGCTGTTGGGCTTGTTTATTGACAAAACTAGCATGAGATGAGGAGTGAGCATAGAGCAGCCTTTCCATCAAACTTCAAGAGCCAACACTCACCAGTGCTGCATAGTGAGAGAGATTAAAGGTTCTGGCATCCTGTCGGGTCTTTGACTCTTCTCACTTGTGTTTCAGATGGCATTTAACGTTTCTTTGTCATGCAACACACACTCTTCAACTTGGTTCCAGCTGAAAACTACTAAATTGTTATGGTCATGAAACGATAACTGTTGTAGACATCGTTGTAGTGGCATGGTTATACAAGTGTTAATCCTGTATTGAAGTATTTCCACTGAGCTGCCAGCTGTGAACAGTAATGTTGCAACAGGTTCTCTGTGCTATGGACCAAATGCTACCACTTCCACTATATCAACTCACTGTCAGGGAGAGCTCAGCTGAAACATAACCAGATCTAATATTTTTGGTTCTCCCAAAGGAAATGACTACGCCAGCTAATATTTTGGTAGTGAATGGTTAAGTTTACAGTTCACCAAACTTTCAGTGTATGCTGCTTACTTTAACAATGATCATGTGTGAATGAGTAGTCACCATTCAAGTCCTTGCTGGTTTCCTCAATTGTTCATACCCTTCACCACTGTACTATGTAGCATTTCATGCTAGAAAACAGATGTTCTTATTTCTTTAAATAGAAAAATGTTATAAACTTTACAACAGATGTCTGAGATAATGCCGTTCTAATATTTATTGTGCTGTACCTGGCCCTGAAGTGTGACCAGTTCAAACAGTTTCATATATATTTGTTTCTTTTTGTTTTGTGTCTCAGTTTTCAGTGTTGAGATTCTGATGTTCACTGTGTACTGCAAGTCTTCCCTCCGCAGCTGTGGGAGGAATTAAAAGATGGGTAGAACCCAACCACCTACTCTACCTTGTATATTTCATAATGTATGTTGCTGGAAGTTGTGTAAAAAATTGAGTCAATGAAAATAAAAATGGATTTAAAGTAGGTCTTTGCTGTCTTATTTTCCTATGTCAAACCAAAGCCTTTCTGCAATGATGTAGACAGCCTATGATGAGCAAAGCTTAAAAAGTAAGGTTTGAAGCAAGTTATAAGTTTTGGGACCTCTTTACACTTCTAAGAAACGATTTAGCAGGGACCTTCTCTTGAGTTCCCCCATTCCTGTACAGCTTGCATAATCTTCTTTGATTTAATGTCTAAGAGTCATATTAACAGTTATAGTAATAAATACTCTGGGGGGTAGACTTTTAGAACTAACTTTATTGTAATGAAAATATAGCTTTCCTTTCACTTCTAGTAGCTACCATGTATGATAATTACAACACAATTGGAATTGTGCCACTTTCTGGCACTTAACTAAGCCTTAACATATTTCCCCACCAAGTACATCCTGCTGTGGAATACCCCTCCTAAAATCTGAGTTGGATAGTTTAGACAAACTGTTTTGAATTTCTGTATCAGAAGGTAAAGCAGTACTGCTGTCCACATCCTGAAACTGACTCCAGTTAGCATCTATTTAAAACACAGATTTGAGAGCTTCTGTAAGTAGCAGCATACCATCAAATTCAGGCATTTCCGTATATATTTGTATAACATATCTTCAAAGGAGGTGCTTTGCTACTACATATATAGACATGCAGTTAGAATAGAGCAAACGTTCAGGTAGTTCCACTGCATTACAAAGGGGTGGAAGTCGCCAATTCAGTCCTGGCAAACAGCCTGCCATACGCTAAGTAGGCAGCAGTTCTCTGTGGACATTAAGAAATCCATTGAGGGAGGCACTGAGTTCAGCTTTTGGCAGCTTGGAAGTCGCAAACCGGCACTGTTTTCACTTCATCCACTCTACTTTTGTGAATCTGGAAGGCAGGAGTCACCCAGCGCCCACAAGAACACTGCTCACCCCGCCAGCTGAAGGAGCCCAGCTTAGATGTGCATTTGGGACACAGAAGCTGCAGGAAACACAAATAACCCATTCTAAGGCACAGTCAAACACAGTCCTACTTAAAACGTAGTTCTACGGCAAATGACGTTCTGGCAACCTTAACCGAGCCAGCACCTTCCCTTTCTCACTTCAAAGAAGTTAAACAGGCTGAAAACAGGCAAAAAAGCTAGAGAGGCATGGCTGATGTTTGCCATGCCCTGGGGTGTGACAGGCAGCTGTGCTGCCAGACAGGAGGGTCTGGGAAGGCAGCTGCTCAGGCTTGGTGCAGTCCCAGGGCAGTTTAACCAGTCTCTTAAACTTCAGAAAGTCTCAGCCAGCCTGAGACCACAACAGGTTTTGAAAGTCCTACAAACTTTTATATTAACCAAAAAAAAAAAAAAAAAACCAAAGCAGTACCCTGTTTTGGTATTAGCCTTCTCTGTCCAACAAGATTACTGGCTCCTTTTGCTATGAGTATTCAACATTTGAGAATCTGCTTATAAACTGCAACACTGATACAGCTCAGCCTGGAAGACCTGGGAACTTGTGTGGGGGCCATCATATTAAGGCGCATAGAGAAGTCTGTTCTGCATTTGCAAAAAAACTCATTCAAAAACTAAAGTGCTTCCTGCCCTTCACCTGTCCTTCCATGACTCCTAGCAATGCTGGCTCCATCCACTGCACAGGCTCAGTGAAGTAAGAGGTACATTTATCACGGCCATCATCATGAAGCTGAGTAGAGTCTGTTATCCTCTTGTGAGCAAAGGCTGCTGGTCCATTTCCTTCCACATGGGACAAAATGCTGGAACTACGGAAGAGAGAGCGCCTGTCCTCCAGGACAGAAGACAGAGGAGGTAAAAGAGTTGTTTTTACTGGGGAAACCTATAGACTGTAATAGAGCATGGGGACATGGACCTCTTGACAATAAATACATAGGATTACACAGCCTACTTTTTTTTTAAACTTAGTCTAAAAGGTCAACAGGCACTGACTCCATTTAGGGCTGCTTCTTAACAAACAAATCCAGTCATTCATGTAGCTTTGGGCTCTGTCCCACAGCGGTATGTTGTTTCTTTTACAGATCTATTTTTAGACAAGTCCCACCTATTAAAACTTGAAATCTAAGCTCATATATGTGAAAAAAATCTACACTTAGGGAACAACAGGATTTTTCAACGTCATTTTACATAATTCATAAAAGACAGTTAAAATGTAGTACTGAACATCTACAACAAGTTTCCTTGAGAGAAGCCCATTTTCAAAACGAAACTAGAAGTTATGGTTTAAGAGCAAGCGACTTCACAGCACCAGGCAGAATTATGCCTGATTATAGAATCTAGCAATTGAGGCTCCACAAGTACTGCACAACTTCAAGGAACAGAAGGCTTTGCGTTTCATAAAACACTTTTGTTTGTCTGATTTCTGTGTCACACACTGTACGGAAACTTACACAAGATCTTATCCCTGTCTTGAAAATAATGACATATCCATTGAGTCACATGTACTATTTTTCTCTCAAGACTTTACTCAAAATGACTTTTAATGGGGAATATAAAAGGTTTGGGGAATATAAAAGTACCTGCATTTTCTGCATCTGTAGAGAACCTCCATGTTTGGAGTTTGACACATACTGGTTGGATCAACAGCAAAGACTTCTCGGGGCAAGTCTTGAAGTTCTGCAGAGGGGACAGTATGAAGCTGTGAATCAAACCAATTAACCCATGATCCACTTCGGTGAAACAAGACAGGGCTGTGCTTTTGCCCTAGTCAGACTATGTAAAGACTACCTTCTTTCCGTTTCATTTGTTCATTTACCAATGCCATTAGTCGAATTCTAAAAAAGAGAGTCTCATCTCACTATATCTAAGATCAGGATTCACTTAATGTAAGGAACTGGAATCGAGAATTTGGCCTTGACAATGGTAAAAGAGTTGAATTTTCCTCTATGTTCTTATTTAAACACGGAGCAAAGACATGGGAGGTAGTCAGAACAGTTCTTCCAATCTTTTAGCGCATACAAGAAATAAAACCAACTCTTATGAATGGAACCTGCTAAGAATAAGAGAGAGAGTTCTATTATACTCGGTACATAACAGTGCAAGAGAGACATTCCACTGAGATGAACTTTACGGAAAGTTTTTATAACAGAACTACACATACACACTCATATATATATATCCACTGAAGTCAATCTGTTGCATATCAGACTACGAAAGTTCACTTCATACCTTGATTTCAACTTTATGTTATTTTAGCTCTGCTTTTATCTTTTTATTTGATTTCCTTGACTTCTTTTTAGAGGACTTTCAGTTTGCCTGAAAGGCACATAAAAATCGAGAAATACATAAAGTTGACTTTCGCTGTTTCTGCATTTTGATGCAGAGAACAGTTCATTACAGATCTTATTTCTCAGACATGTCTCAATGACTTTTTTCCCCCGATGACTAGCTAGGATTCTTTAGAGTCAACATGGCATGAATGTTAATCTAGCCAACTCAAGGCTCAGCTACTTTGAGAGAAGTACTCAGTCAACAAACCATCATTGAGCTCTGTAAAGAGGCATTCCTCTGCCATGCGCTTCTGTGCTCATTTAAGGACACAGAATTTAAGGGCACGTGCTGGGAACTCCAGCTATGGGAAAATATTCACCAGTTTGCAACCTGTTCGAAAGGACAGCAAGTAGGTTCAGAAACAAATCTTTTTTTTTTTAAACCAGTGAAACACGGCCCATCATCGTGATCACACGCAGCCCTCATACAGCACACTGGACACCGGAGGTCTTCCTGAGGTACAACCAGTTAAAAATATCCACGTTCTGCAGCAGAACGAGGAGCAGTACACGGGTTAGTAGCGACAACCCCTGAACACAGCACACGGTTCCCAAGATAATCTGAACTGACTGCACATCAGGAAGATGCCAGCAGGTGCCGGATGCTGCCTATCAGTGCACAGAGCCGTGTGACCCACAGCCCATCAGACCGACCAAAGCCCCTCCGTGCGTGATCCACCTGGCACCACCCATCCCTGGGAGACCCCCAGAAGTCTGTATCCAGTTTCAGGTGTTCACCGAAGCCTAACTTCAGTGACGAGACGCGGCTCGCTGGCGGGCTGCTCCCCAAACCCAGCTCGGCTCAGCCTCGGCTGCTCCCTGGGCACGGGCGGGAGGCGGAGGTACTCACCGGGGTACCTCTCCGTGACCATCTGCAGGCGGTACCGCTTGTAAAGGGCGCTGCTCACGTCCACGGCAC